GTTCTTTATCTTTTCATTTGATGTTTTAGGGTTTCAGGATTGTTGTATTCTCTGTTTGGCTTAGTTTTTCGGATGTTTGCTGTGGAGGGACGGCGTGGTGCTTCTGCCTAGAGCGCCATTTTGCCGGAACTCTTCGTATGCCTCTGGTTTTTAACCTAACTCTGAGCAGCCATTTTTTTTTTTCTTTAAGCTTCCTCTAACACACAGTTAAGAGCAAAAACCTAAGTGTACAACTTGATGAAGTTTTAAATTCACTTATCTAACCACCACCCAGATCAAAGTAGAGAATATTACCAGCACCCAGAAGCCGCCTTCTTGCTCCTGCCCAGTCACCACCTACTCCAATGAAAGATAAATTCACTATCCTGAATTCTATTACCATAGATTCGTTTTGCCTGGTTTTAAGCTTTATATAAATGAAATCATACAGAATGTGCTTTTTTATGTCTGGATTGTGTTGCTCAGCATTGTATTTATGAAATTCATCCGTGTTGTGTGTAGCAGATGTGCTTTCTTTTTCTTCTTTGTGTAGTAGTTTCTTTTATGCATATACCACAATTTATCCATTTGTTATGGATTGAATTGTGTCCCCCCAAAATATGTGTTGTAAATCCTAATGCCTTTACCCATGGTTATAATCCCCTTTGGGAATGGGTCTTCTTTTTTATGTTCATGAGGCAGTATTAGTGTAGAGTATGTCTTAAATCAATCTCTTTTAAGATATAAAAGAGCAGACTGAGCAAGAATTAAATAAGCATAGATGGGGAATAGATGCCAAGCCACACAATCACCAAGGAATAGAAGCTGAAAAGAGACAAGGACTTTCCCCCAGAGCCTACAGAGAGAGAACGCCTTCCCCTAGAGCCAGTACTCTGAATTTGGACTTCTAGCCTTCTAAAATAAATTCTGTTTGTTAAATCAACCCACTTGTGGTATTTTTGTTACAGCAGCACTAGATAACTAAGACACCATTTTACTGTTGATAGATGTTTAGACTTTTCAGTTAGAGGCTATCATGAGTAAAACTTCCGTGAACATTCCTGCACATGTCTTTTGCTGCACATATGCATTCATTTCTGTAAGGTAGTCCTGGTGGTGCAATGATCAAAGCGTTTGACTGCTAATCAAAAAGTTGACAGTTCGAACCCACCAGCCATTCCTCGGGAGAAAGATGTGGCAGACTGCTTCCGTAAAGATTTATAGCCTTGGAAACCCTATGGGACAGTTCTACTCTGTCCTATAGGGTAGCTGTGAGTTGGAATCGACTTGACGGCAGTGGGTTGGTTGGTTTGTTTTGTTTTTAATATACCAAAAAATAGAATTTTTGGGTTATAGGGTATGTGGGTGCTCATTAACAGACGTATTTGTTTTATACTTCTAGATAATCATTTTTTTTATTTTGCTTCATTTATAGTTTGTCTGAGAATACAGATCAACCCACAGAACAAAGCGGATTTCCAAGGCATCTCCCCAGAGCGAGCCTTTGCTGATTTTCTCTTTGCCAGCACCATCTTGCACCTTGTTGTGATGAACTTCGTTGGCTGAAACGTTCCCATTTACTCAATGGAGGAGTAGGAGACAAGAAGAATGTAAGCGATGATCATAGCCCTTGTCCCATAATGTTGATTTTAGGAAGAGAAATTGGATGGAGCTGGTTTTGATCGTGGTTGGCAAGGTTCTCATATTGCTGATAAGATGTCTGCAGAATTTTCTAATGGTCTGTAAAATATGCATTAATATCATGATTCATCAGTGCAGCTCCTCTTGGTCATTGCTTTCTCTTCTCACTTCTCTGAAGATGATTAAGATAACAGAAAATGAGTGTTTGCCAGTAGCTAACATATTAATTTCTACACCAATAACTCCATGAAAACATCTCAAGAGATTTGGTCGAGAAATACATTGTAGGTTTTTCCTTTAGATTTGCTTTATCGTAGTTTCTGGTTTTGCTCTCAGATGACTTTAAATGCTGGGCCATTGTCCCCATAGTACAAAGCACAGAGCTCACATCTGCTAGATATCAGTATATGTTGAATGAATGACCATGGACATTTGCTAATACATCTCCTAAAGAAGAAATAAACTGGGAAAATTGGATTTAACGTGAGAGAAGACTTTAAATTACAGGGAAGAAAGCCGTTTGTTTCGTATTTATCTAGCTTTCCCCCCTTTTTAGCAGTAGAGTTCTTTTTTCTCCAGACAAGATCTTATACAGAATGTCAGTGTGTAAAACAGAAGTGGAGCTGGTGTTTTGACTGACAGAAGTTGCCAGGCTTCCCCTGCTTGGCCTCCTCTTCATGTGTGCTGCACCCTCCCCTCCATCCACCCTGCCTGCACCCCCAAGGAGCCTGTGAGGAACCTACATAGAACCTGAAAGCTCTGAGACATAAATGGGTATTTTCAGACTCTATATTAACACTCTTAATTTACATATGAGAAAAAAGGCCCAGGAAGATCCAGTGACCTTCCTGGGCCACATGGCTAAGCGGTTGCGGAGTGGTGTCTGAGCCCAGTGGTGCTCTTAGCCCAGTGTTTCTTACAGTGCCCATGCAGCTTACCAGTCAGTGAATTTACTCTTTCCTGGTCTTTGCATTACTGAATTTAGTGTTGATGTTACTGGGTGAGAGAAAGGAAATGAGCGCTATAGGAAATGTCATCCTATTCAGGGAAGACTGTCTTAGGACCAGCCTTTCTGTTACTACCAGGAAAGCTGTTATTTTTGTATTAATGAGCAGATACCTTTACCACAGGGGTTAGAGCAACCCATCTGTAAGGTGTATGCATTAATGTGACACTGACTGTACTTGCACGAATTAATCAATTCCTTATAATGTTATATGAATCCCTTCCAATATTGATATTGTCTCAAAAACTGCTCTGTTAGTTTGGGTAAAGTTTTGTTTTTGGTAGTGGTAAGTTGACAGAGGTGGTTTATTTCAGTGAAAAAGTTTGACAGCTACTTTATACTATGCTAATTCAGTTTAACTCCTTGGAGACCTGATCAAGATTTTAGTTTGTCTATCTGTCCTCCCTCCCTCTTTCCTTTCCTTTCTTTCTTTCTTTTGTACTTTGAAGTGGTTTTTAATGGACCAGTCAGTGTTCTTACTGGGAATACAAAGAAAAGCTGTGGCTCTGGTCTTCAAGAAATGAACAGTCTAGTAGGAAAGACAGACGTGTACACATAAAAGTGAAAATGCAGCATAGTTAGAACCACACTAAAGATCTGCACAAAACACTGAGTCCAGAGGAGGGAGTGGCTGTAACGTCTGGTGCTGAGACACGGGCAGCAGACAGACATCTGACCAACGGAAACTCCTTGTGTGCAGCTAGGGAACTACCTGCTGCCATTAGCCTTCTTTTCATACCCTTGCAAATACCATGAGTAACTCTTGGGCTCTCTGATAGTAACTCTGCTGGAAAGGTCATATATCTTCTGATTGCCTTACTGTAGATTTCTCAAGTTACCTTTTTTCCCCAGATGAGTCATGGTGTGTACTTAGGAGGAGGACAGAGCAAACATTTCAAGGATGTTTCCTAGGCTCAGGGAGATACCAAATCATGGAAAATTATTTCCCAGGACTGTCGTGATTGGAGGAGAAATCTGCTGCGGGGAGCTTAGTATTTCAAAATTATGATATAAACAGAGACAAAAAAGCAGGCTCAGCAGAAACTGCATACTGCAGACCTTATTAACAGCCCTGGGCCACCTGTTCAGCTGGGAATTATGGGCCCAAGGTATAGCAAAATCTTCCAGTCCCAGATTGCAGTGTTAAATCATTGTATAGAGAGTATGTTCATAGAAAAATCCTTCTCTCTGGGTGATTCCCAGAGGATTTTTCACAGAGATCCTTCACTTGACATACACTACACTGTCCCACTCTAAATTTTTAAACATGTATTTGCCCTCTTTATGTGCTTCTAACTCATCTATATGTGCAGTGTGCCAAAACACTTAAAATAATTTCCGAGTGAGTTCTCAATATTTATACCAACTGAGAAGGTGGAACAAAACAGATTGAACATTCTCTATACTTGCCAAGTAAGTTGAGAGGTGGGTATAAAAAGAATAAACATTTCTAGTGTTCTGATTTTGCATAAATTTGGGGTAACCTTTAAAACCAGCAGCTACTCGGAAAAAGGCAGATCAAAAGAAAGTGGCATTGAGTTAAAAAAATAAACATTTCCAAGGAGAAGTAGGGAAATTAATATATACTGAGTGTTCACTGCATGCCATGCTTCTCGTTCGGTATCTCATTTTATTTTCAGAATAACCTCAGGCTTGCTAGTCCCATTTTGCAGATGAAGATCTGAGGTTCCAAGAGTGTTGCCAGAAATCTGAAAACCAGTAAGGCTGATAATCCAGTCTGACTTCAAAAATCAATTTTTTGTATCCCATTTTTGCTAAGGGTAGTTCACTATATGAACACAAAAACCAGACCCATTGCTGTCCAGTCGATTCCGACTCATAGTGACCCTATAGGACAGACTAGAACTGCCCCATAGGGTTTCTAAGGCTGTAAATCTTTACGGCAGCGGACTGCCATGTCTTTCTCCCGTGGAGTGAGTGGTGGGTTCAAACCACCGACCTTTTGCTTAACAGCCAAGTGCTTAACCACTATGCCACCAGGGCTCCTCTGTTCACAGTATAGTATTTGTCAATTGCAGAGTTAAAGAAATTATTTAAAAAGATACTGCAGGTATTTTATCATTGTCTTCTCCCTTATTTCTCTCTTTTCTTAGCTTTTAGTGTAACATTTTTAAAAATACAGAAAAGTACAGAGAATCATATAGCAAACACCCATGTATCCACCACCTGGAATGAATAGATTTTAAATAGATTAAACATTTTGTATTCTGCTGAAGTTCCCTTTGAATCTTTCTCCAGTCCCAGTTCCCTCCCTCTCCTGTAAGATTTGAACTTCATGGCAATTTGTCCAGCTAGGACTAATGTAAAACTTATATCTATTAATACAGCTTTTTCCAAACTTGAGGCTTCTGTCTCCTGAAAACATATGTGAAGACAGCAGTTTGAGAAACCCTGTGGTAAAAGTTAACTATTCAGTCACTTGACAACACTAGTTATAGGCTATCCGCGTGATCCAGAATATGCTCACATTTTTTATAGATGATCATAAAAGTGAAAATTCAAAAGTAAAAAATGCTCCTAGTGAACTTCTAAGCCCCATGAATCTTTGCACACTTTCAGTGATAGTCAGTGTTTGACACTTAGCTGACAGTAAATCTTTTTTGCATGATAGAGAAGCTCAGTAGATTTTAATGTTTAAAAATTCGCATGCTTTCTGTCATTATTTCCTTTTTTGTTTTTCTATGTTTCTTTGTGAAATTCTTTAAAAAAAAATGTCAGCCTATCTCAGGTTTCTGAAGGAATATGAGGACAAGAGGACATATCTACCTTGGGTCTTAGTTTGGGAAGCGGAGTTCCTGATAACTTGGGCCCTGGGGTAGAGGGAGAGGTGAAACTGGTATACAGGGACAAACCCAGGCCTGGGAGATTGTCAAATGCTTGTGCTAAAACCTTTTGTGTTGCTTTGTTTTCACAGTGGAGGCCATTCTCCCACAGGTCTTTAAAAATTCATAACGTTTCAACCTGGCAGGAGCAAAGGTCCTACAGGGCTGGGCAGACAGGTAGTACTGTTTACAAATAGGCAATTGCTGTTGGTTTTTCAAATTCATCAGTAACGTATAATCTAGACAGTTACTCTGGAAGGGAATCTAAATGTTGTTCTTTAGGATCTACTGCCACCTATCGGATTGTACGTTTTATACCGGGAGAATGTTATTAGAGAAGTTCAGTTTGGGGGAAGAAACCTCAGATATCTCTATGATAAAACCTGGTTACTTTCCAGTCACAGGAGGGCAGCAGAGGTCCAAGTGGAGTTAGCTGCCGGGGCTCGGGGGGTTTACATTCTGGCCAGAAGTGGGCAGTGTCGAGTTAGGAACAAAAGGGACCCTAGGTTTTTGTTATTTAGCGAAGACCACACGCGTGTAGACGGCCAGATTTCCCCTTTGTTTGCCTTTTTATCAGTTCAAGAGTTTCCTCTCTAGCCCTTAGTTTGCTCTCTACAATGTCCTCCCACGGGCGATAATCTTTCATTTTTCTTTAAACTACTTTTTATTTCATTTTCTTTATGATGTTTCTTATATTAATTAGGTCCAGCCACCAAATAAGTTCTCAAAAGGGAAACTATTTTAAACTGGTAGAAAGTCTTTTGAGCTAGGCGCAGCAAAACTTTTTCTCAACTCATTTTTCCCTGGTTGGAGAGTGAGATTCTTTATCTGTTATTCCTAGAACCTTGAATCGCTTATTCTGTTTACTAAAAAACACACATTGATGATTCTCTAATTGGTGACTGAACTCTGTTTTGTATTTGGTCCATTTAAGGCTATCAAAAAAAAAAGAATATCAGAGGGATTTGTGTTTATCTCTGCTTTATTGTCTCTGTCCTTCCAGCTTGGATGACACTTATTCCAAATCATCCCCGACCCCCAGGTTGCACAGCAGCCTCTTCTCTGCCCCCATGGTCCACTATGCATTCCTCTACAGTTGCACTTAGCACAGTGTTAGGAAACTCTTCATTCACTTTTCTGTCTCTCTAATGGGCTCTTAAATTCTCAGGGTTTAGCACAGGGCTAACAGTCACAGTGCATGTTTGTTGAATGAGTGTATGAATGAATAAATCATATTCACCTGCAAGAAAATTGGCTGTATCATTAGATGCTTGATAAACAGAGCCGTCAGTTGCTTGGAAGCTGAGACGTGGAAAATGTGGTGGTAGAAGCCAAGGACAAGATTAATACGAGAGGCTTGTGGGTGGGGAGGAACACAAGAAGAGATGTCAGAAGACCCTCATTGTAGACCCTGCTCCGTTGTTATCTAGTTGAACAGACAAATACATTTGTCTGTGAACCTCAGTTTCCCTGTCTGCACAGTGAGGGGATTGGCCTGGATGTTCATCAAAGTCCCTTGCAGCTGTTGAAGCCTCTGATTAATATAATAACCAATATCATACCTGATGGTTCCCATTGTGCTGGAGGAGGATTGTGCTGTCTGCGTGGATTCTCAGTTTGGCTTTGCTTTATTATTCTTTTTCCAATTTTTGCTTTTTATCCATATTTCCCTATGTTTACTATCTATTCACAGAAGGTGGAAAGTTAAGGTGTGAGGGTTTATTACAAAATGCACAATATCTGTATAAGGTCTTTTATAATATTAAACACTGTTTGCAAATGTTTTACTATTTTCAGATTACCAGGCTTGCAGGATTCACATATATTCCATGTCTCCTTTTACATACATTATCATGTGATCCTCAGGACTCACCCTGTGGTGTAGGTAGACAAACAGTAGTGTTCCCATTTTACATGTGAGATAATTAAACCTTGGTGAAATTGAAGTTGACTGGTCCAGGCCCTGGAACTAATAAGTGGCTGATTGGGAACATGAATTCAGGCATTTAGACGCCAAACTCTTGTATTCCTCCCTGTATATCATGTTCATAGGCTTTTGAAAGATGTATGTATACATCTTCCTGTTAGAAGATTTTCATTACAAATAATAAACTTGCTTCTCTTTTTTAAATGGAAAAATTAGAAGATGTTGATAAAAAAGGATGAAGACAGGCTGCTTAAAATGTTTTTGCTAAGTCATTTGTCCCTAGTATGGTCCAGGGGAAGTGGAGGAGAATATAGACCAGGGACCTGACGTTACCTGGTGAGGGTGACTCTGGACCAATGCTTTTCAGTAGAATTTCCTGCAATGTGGAGATGGTGTGGATCTGCACATTATAGCAGCCACTAGCCGTATGTGGTTATTGACCTTTTGAGATGTAGCTAATGTGACTGAGAAACTGAATTTTTAATTTAATTTAAAATAAGTTTAAATAGTCACACCTCACTTGTGGCTGCCATATAGGACAGCTGCTCCAGACAAATGTGTCAAATCCTCAGGTTATAGTTTCCTCATCTGTAAAATGAGAGGAGTGGACTAGCTGATCTCTAAAGCTCCTTTAATTTTTAGCAATATACGATCCGTGACTTCTAATATTGTAGTGAATCAAATTGAGTTCTGAACCTAGAATTTCTGCAGAATGGTCTTTGATTCATATTTTCACTGATTTTGGTTTTAATTGGGTGACTGGGAGCCAGGATGAGATGGATTTGAAGGAAAATCAGTATTCGAGCATATCTGCCCAGTGCCTGTGTCTGAATAGAGATGGCACTGAGAAGAATACAGATTCCACACAGAAATGATCCTGTCTGGCATTATCTTTTGTATCTATACAGAGAGTAATTATTTTTAACAGTTCGTTGTGTTGTACCTTGCTTTCTTTTAAGATGATTAGAACAGACTGATCAGATGGCACTGTCTTTTTCTGCATGGGTGACATAGACTGAAAGCCATGGTAACTTTTCTCGGTAGGTGTCTTCCATTTTGCATGTCTCTCTATCAGGGGAGGACGTTTATTAGTTCTCAAAACTTTTATCCCCTGGTTAACGGTTGAAACCATTCTTCTGAGCAGTCGAATAGTCCCAGTCTTATCGAGCTAACATTTCAGAAAGGTTCCTAGAACCTCTGCTTTTAGAATACTTTCTGGTTAAATATATTTTTGCCTTGAAAGAAGGCAACAGATCTTTGTAAACAGGATCTTCTAGAAACTCCTGTCAAAGAAACTTATGAGTTATTTTTGGTTTCTGGATCGACTAACCTCAATATCTTAGATTTAAATGTTTTAATACTGTATCATAGAACTTTGAAACTTGAGTTTTGTACTAAACTGGTATGTATTTCTTTTTATAATTCTAAATGTGCAAAGGCTATTGTTTTCTGAATTGGCTTCATACACTAGTCCTTCCTCACTTTGGTCATAGAACTGATGTTTAGTTCATCGTCTACTGTAAGAGAGTTTGCCTTAAGAAGTTTCATGCAAGGACTAGGTGAGTTTTAGAAGGTCTGTTCTTGTTTGGTGATGTAAACACTGAACATTCTTGCTTTTTGCTCCCCTTTTTACACATTTCTCACAATTCCACTTATGCAAGAACGCTCTGCAGTTATGTAGCATTTACATAAATACCATTTTTAGTGAAATAAAAGCACTCTGGCTAGAAGTCTAAAATCTTCCTTTAAGCGCCGATGCTAGAATCTTCAGGTACCTTAAACCAGTGCACAGAGTAAGGTGGTGCCGTCTTACCTACTGGGGTTTTTCTGAAAGGTAATGTTTCCCAACCTTTTCTAGTCATGGCACACATAGAAGATTCCAGTATTTTTCTGGCACACTATGGAAAATTGGCTGCTTATGATTAGAGACAGTGGAGTCTCTAGGGCCAAAGGGATCAGTGTTCTCCATACTGGAGAACCGTGGGTAGGAAGCTCTTCTCCGAGGGGCTAGAAAGGAAACGGAAGCCTCTGTGGAGGGTAGGGATGGGGACTCCACCCCACACTTAGACCCCAGTCCCTTTCTGGCTTCAGCAGTAATGTAGCACTTCTCTCTGTGTTAATTCTGCACCTTCCTCTTGACAAAAGTAACCTTATCTTTAAATGAAAATGAAATTATTTTATTTTGGCCCTTTGTTAAATCTGGGATTGGGAATTCTTTACTTTCTCTCTTGAGTCCTTTACCCCATCCCCATGCCCCAAAACCAGAGTTCAGTGCTTTATAAGCCTTCTAGATCCAGAAAAGCTCTTCAGGCTAAACTGCAACCCCCTGACCTCAAGGAATTTATGGGCCAGGGAGGTCAGAGTGGCTTGTGCAAAGTCAGGGAGCTAATTAATGATAGAGCTGGAGTGAGAATCCATGTCTACCACCTCCTAGTTTGTTTTGCCTTAGTGTGTTTGAATTCAGTAGGAACACTCGTTTTTATGGATCCTACTCCTGTAAAATGTTCTGTGAAAAATACTTGCTTCACTTCTGGTGGTTGTAGCCTGGCTTAAATACTGTCCAGAGTTTGGCAACCCGTAACTGTCTTTGTGGGTTTAGAATTTAGATTGAAGGATTTGCTACCCTGTCTGTAGTATTGTAAGACTTTCTAAACCCTTGGATGTCTCTTCTTACCTTTCTGTTTCTTTTAGGTTCACTTTTTGATTTCCCCTGGATAAAAGCTCTTGAGATGGCAGCTTGTTGGACACATGGATTTTCTTCAGACTTGTAATTACTACCGACTCTGACTTGGTACGCAGGTGGAGATCCCAGGAGAAGTTTCCTCCCTTCCCTTCTGTGTAATGAGCAGAACAGCTTTGTAATGAGCATTTATTAACATGACCTCTGCCTTCCATTAAATGTAACCTTTTTGCCTCCTTCCAAATTAAAGAACTACATGCCACTCCTCATTATGCCTCTGGCTCTGTTTTTTGTTTTTATTGTTTGTTGGTGTCAGAATCCTTTTTTTCCTTCAATCCTTTGAGCAAAGCTCTTTAGGAGTTGGTCACTTGCAACTGTGGACCCACCTCTATATTTGCATTAAGTGTATTTGAAGTTAATGACAAAAGGCAGTGCTGACATCCTTGGAAAAATGCAGTCCCTTGTCTTCTCCCTGGAGCAGATAATCCATTACTAATCGTTCCATTGTTACAGGTGGTTCTGCTCTTATGCCACAATGCATTCCTGTAACTGCATCATTAAGTGCTTTGTTAGAAATTGGACTAAATGTGTGCTTCCATATTCACATCTGTTTCAACATGCTTTAGTGGCGAAAATTGAAATATGTATCTATAAGGCAATGTAAGCAGAGTGCAAAAAGTGGGGGTTGTTGATATGTTGATTTATAAGACACAGTATTCTCCAAAGCACCTTCACAAATATTCTCTCCTTTTATTTTTGCAGTTATCTCAGTGGTTCCAGTCCTCATTAGATAGGTGAGGGAATTGAAGTTCAGGTTTGCGACTTGCTTAAGGTCAAAGAATTCATGACAAAGCTTGGATAGACTATAGATCTGCTGGCTGAATTCTAGGCATATTTGTTTCATGCTAGCAGCCATATTTCCCTCTTGGGTGCCATATGGTTGTCTTATATAGGAAACTATATTGAGAATTTCTGTATTTAAATTTAGCTGAATACGAGATGATGAGTTGTGTTCTGGCGGTTCTCCAGACTAATTAAATAAAAATCTTTGGGGGTAGCATCTGTATTTTGTAATATAGGTGATTCCACTGTGCAGCCAAACTGAAGGAGCACTACTCTAGATCCTTGCTACTAAAAATGGAGTCTACTAACCAGTAGTATTGACATCACCTAGGAACTTTTTTGGAGCCCTGGTGGCTCAGTGGTTAAGAGCTTGGCTGCTAACCAAAAGGTCGGCAGTTCAAATCCACCAGGTGCTCCTTGGAAACCCTATTTGGCAGTTCTACTCTGTCCTACAGGGTCGATATGAGTCGGCATTGACTCACCAGCAATGGGTAGGAGCTTATTTGAAAAGGAGACTGGGCCCCACCTAGAGCTACTGAGGCAGAATCTTCATTTTAAACAAGATCCCCAGGTGATTCATGTGCATATTAAAGTTTGAGAAGCACTGATCTAGAACAGTGGTTCTCAAGTTTTGGTGATTACCACAGTTACCTGGGAACTTGGTAAAAAGATGGGGCCTCTATGTTCTTTTATTAGCTCTCTTGGTAATTTCTGATACACACCAAAGTTTGAGAACCACAGTTCTAGATCGGGAGTTGGCAGACTCTTGAATGGGCACGGCTATGTTCCAGGAAAACTTCGTGGGCTGTAGTTTGTCACTACTAAGGGATGCGAGTTCACTAAGATTGTGATTAAGCAGTTTCATTTACTCTAAAACTCATATGTCATATAGCTTTGTCAGGAGGCTTCTGAATTATTTTTAGTTTAGATTGGATAAATGGGTATTTTGAATAAGAAAAGCACCTGAAATTTGAGATCAGTGGGATGAAAACAGAATAATAGTACTTTTGTCAAGGAGGACATTACAATTTTCAGAGCCTTTAACAACAGACTTTATTTAATTTCTCAAACAATGATTTTGGGATCCATGGGGCAGATACTAAATTCCCATTTATTGGATTTAGCTACCAGCTCAGAGGTTATTTACTCAAACCAGTTACCATCAACAGGAAACAGTCATCTTTGGTGTGTCTTTTCACCATTTGCAGCAGGGCAAAAGCCCACAGACTGCTTAAATTTAATTAAGGGCTCATTACAGGCATTTAGTCTTCTGTTGTCTTGCTCAGTGGTTCTCAACTCTGGTATGTACAGAAGAATTAGCTGTGGAGCTATTCATTCAAGCCTAAAGAAATGCATTGACCCTCCCCTACTCCTTTAGTGTCTGATTGTTAGGTGTTTTTTAGCTGAAGCAGCTGCTGTAGACACATGGTAGATGAGAGGCATTGAACCAGGAGAGGTAATCTTTTCATAACATGCGTCTTCCTTTCTCTGGGCCTTTCTTGATATCCACTGGCTGTCTTATGATGATGCCTTACACACGGGTGCTCAATAAAGCATGTTGACTTGATTTTGAGTACTACAGTATAGACAGGTATATCCTAGCATTTCCTGCTACCTCTAGCTCAGCACCTCTATGGGGTGGGTTTATTTTTATTTTCTGTGCTCTTTTGTGAGGCCGGAAGCCATTTACCACAACCATTGTAGAGAGTCAATGCAGTGGCAGGAAGCCCAGCCTTGAGCACCTCCTGCCCACACATTTCCTGTCCCCTATCACATGGAAACTATCTGTGTACTCCTTTTAGCACCCTATACCTTTGGCTTCTTTGATCACATTGTTTCATCTTGGGCTTCAGAACATTTTTGTTATGATGGCAGAGGCCAGTTCTCTGCTCTTGGAGGCTCAGTACTGGCTGGTCACTATAGGCTGGGGAGCTGTGTACAAACTCAGCCTACCCTGCTGCCCTTCCAGCATGGTGGGTAACGGCTCTGGGCTCTGGAAGACTAGACTAAAGTTTGAGTGCTATGTGACTTTGATTACAGTTAATTTTTTAAAACATTAACAAATATGAACAATGGGTTTCTCAAAGGAAAGGAAGACAACACTTAGGGAACACTGAGCTTCTGTTAAGGGTGATGGAAAAATTCGGGAATGGTTAATGGTGGTAGGTGAGTGACAGAATGGACATATTTAATGTCACTGAACTGTACATGTGAAGACTGTTGAAATGGCAAATGTTTTGCACCTATATATCTACCACAATTTAAAATAAATAAATGGGTTTCTCCTGTGGGGGAAACAACCCTTCCCAGAACAAGGATCTTATGTGAGGGAATGAGACAAAAGTGGAAGGAAGCTTATGAAGGAGTAAAACCAAAAAACCCACACCCATTGCTGTCTAGTCGATTCCGACTCATAGTGAGCCTATAGGACAGAGCAGAACTGCCACATAGGGTTTCCAAGGAGCAGCTGGTGGATTCTGAACTGCTGACCCTTTCGTTAGCAGCTGAGCTCTCAACCACTGCACCAGGAGGTAAACAAACAAAAAATTTTTTTTGCTTACATTGAATTTATAGGTGGGTCCAAGCTCATGCAAAACTTCTGTCAATGGGATGGAAAAGAAAAAGTATTTTTAAACCACTAGAGAGGTGGCCTGTTGTTGAAGAAACCACTTCGCTTGATCTGGAAGAGTTGATTGAAGGTCCTGTTCTGCCACTTACTGTCTGTTGACCTTTTATGGACCTTTTGTTTTGTCTCTAAAATTTAGCAAATGATTAATTAGGCTCCTAGGCACTGTGCTAGACAGTGCATGGGGTTACAAAAGCTAAGACACAGCCTTGCTGTTTAGGAGTGAGTGAGCTAACATTACTGTCTGTCATGTGTCTGGCGTGGTATTAAGCACCCTCCTGTTATTTATGGTTCCCTCTTTTACTTATGTTTCATGAGGTAAGTGGGTGGTATTCTCATTTTCCAGATGAACAGAGACTCGAACTGCAAGTATTAGGATTTGAATCTTATTTCTGTCTGATTCCAAAGCATTTGGATTAAGCTTTGAATGAGGTGAATAATAAAGTAGTAAAGCATGGGGATAATAATACTTGACACTGACACTTGACGCTGTTGTCCCAACAAAATGTTAAGTGAAAGTACCTTGTTAATGTAACTGCTCTACCAATGTATTACTACTCTCATGGCAGTCATCAAATGCCGGGAATTGTTCACAGCTTCATGCTTTTATCCCTCAGCTGCATGTCCAGCTTTACTGGTTTTCAGCTAAAGGACTGTGGTGGTCCATGGCAGGTCATGCTCTCCCGGGAGGAGAGAGACCATTTTAGGAGGCCCTGTTCTGCCTTTCTAAACCCCCAACTATTTTTTAACTTTTTATTATTGAAATTTTCGTACTCAAAAAGTTGAGAAAATAGTATAATGAACTCCCAGACACCCAATATCCAGCTTCAACAGTTATCAGCATTTTACCCTAATCTAGTTGCAGGGTTGTAATCAATAAGAGGCATCTGCTAGGAGAGCTCATTCTGCCATTACTCCTTCATTTAGTTAATTAATATTTGAGTGCCTACTATGTGCCAGGCACTAGAGATAGAAAGATGATCTGAACAGACAGGGTGGTTTCTTTTCTGAGCCTTAAATTCTAGCGTGTAAATAGTGTCATATGTGGGGTGAAGGAAAGGAACAATCTGACGTGATAGTAAATGGGGGTGGGGAGAGGGTAACAGACACAGTGGTCAGGAAAGAGCTCTTAGGTTGACATCTGACAGCTGAGAGTCAGTCACGGGACCAGCCAGGGGGAGTGTGTCTAGATATCACCTTACTAACCATCAGTGCCATATGATTGAATAGTGGAGTTTATGTATGAGAAAGTGGAGCCCTCATGGGGCAGTAGTTAAGAGCTCGGCTGCTAACCCAAGGGTCAGCAGTTCAAATCCACCAGTCGCTCCTAGGAAACCCTATGGAGCAGTTCTACTCTGTCCTGTAGGGTCACTATGAGTTGGAATCGACTCAACAGCAACGAGTTTGGTTTGTTTTGGTATATATGGGAACAATATTGTTTCAGGAGACATCAATATCACCAAATGTTTATCAAGGGAGTGCCTCCTAAATGTACTAGCTCTGTGTTACCATTCTAATCTAATCCTGAAGTATGATCAAGTAGGTTCAATTAGAGACACAGCAGAGTATGGGACACCTGAGGCAGAATACAAGACACTGGTCCTGAGGGTCCTCAGAGACGCCAGTCGCTTGAAGCTCCCTGCTCTATGATGGCTGCACGTAGAACCACCTAGGGCAGCTGTGCCTCTACTGCTTGGTGGGAAGAGTCAGGGCATCTGAGTCCA